CCCCGGCCCCCTCACCCCCCGCCTCCCCCTCCGCTCCTGCCAGAGGCCACGCTCCCCTGCTTCAGAGGACCACAAGTCTTCCCTAGGCCATAAAGCCCTGAGACAACCTGCTCTGCTCCAATTCCGAAGCCGGAGGATGCTTTCGGATCCCCTTCCAACCCGAGGGGATGCCTCCGAAGGACGATGCTTCCTACAGTTTTCCTGCAGAGCCTGCATCCCCAGTCATCCTCCCGCTTGGCTGGAGCCATCCTCATACAGCCTAAAACAACTTTCAAAAGCTTCATTTATTTACAGGTTAAAAAAGAAAAAATCCCACATAAATCATGAAAAAAAAAAAAAAGTGAGCCCCTTCCACCACTCGTGCTGCCCAGCGCCTGGAAGTTCAGTACCAGTAGGTTCGACCTGGAAGGAAGAGAATGTTAAAATGCCAGCAGCGCTGCCCGGTGCCGTTGTGCAATGGATAAATTACAGAACTGAGAGACAGACCTGTCCCGCCGGAGCCTGCCGGGGTTATGTTAATGGCAGCGACGTCAGCTCACGGCTCTTATCAGCGGCCGAGCGGGAGGCAGCGAGCTGGAGCTCAGGAATGAACCTGGTCTGGTAGCACCAGTTCCCAAGGAGCCTGCACAGGAGGGGAGGTTTCGCTTCACGACAGCGCAGTTTCAGCCTCCGTGGGTTTTACTGCCAGCGCTTTGCTGTCAGGGGGGAGGTGGGATGGGGGGGCCAGTCGGGCCGGGCCGCTGCTTCAGAAATAGAGATTCCAGTGGAACACAGAGAGGAAAACGTAGAGACTGAGGAGAAGCAGAAAACAGGAGGGAGTGGAGGGGTCTGGCCACAGAAGGTGGAGAAAAGAGAAACGCAGGAGAGGAACACAACAGAAAGCCAAAGGAGAGCAGAGGAGGTGGAGGAGATGGAGCATCTCTGCGTGCAATAGCGGTTTGGGCCAAGCAGAACTAAGCGTGCGTCGTTTGCACCGGATAAAGGCCACGAGAGCATCTTAACTGCACTTCGGGAACTTTCTCCTGCGCCTTAGGGAATTTCAAGAGTTAAGTTTAACTTTGTTCCTTCTCTAGTAAGGAGAGAAGAAAATCAAACATTCTCCTGGAAGATATGGATTGCTTTAATGACGGCGTGAGTACGCAGCTCCTCAAAAACACCTTCCAGGTCGCCCGACCCTGCGGTTTAACAGGGACCGCTCAGAGAAGAAAACCCCTTTGGTTTCCCACCTCTTTGGGTGGACTCTGCCTGCATCAAAACCAGCTCCCTCCCCGCAGTCCTGCCACCCCACTGCAGAGCCCCCCCCCCCCGGGTTTGGGCACCCCCCCCCACCATTCCCCTTCAGCAACACAATATTGCACTTTTCCGTCCGTTCCTTAGGGGTTCTCTCACATCAGGTTCACATGGTATCCGTAGCATTTCATGACGTTTCATTCCTAGGAATTTATCTTGTTCCCTTCTAACCGCAACCTTCTCTCATTGCCTTTCATGGTCTCCAGTCGCGTTTGTTTAACGCCTTTCCCTCCGCTCATTCTAGGCCCATCCACACGCAGTTTCTGTGCGGAGCCGACAGCCACGGCCACGAAGCCCCCTCCCGAGCCTCACTTACCAACACAGATCCTTCAAGTCTCCTTTCAGCAAAGCCACGGTTCGCGTTCTCGCTCCCCGCCTTCGGAGCGTCACCAGCTGCAGCTCTGCACGCTCCCATCCCAGCCGCCTGCCGTCTCACATCCCCGCTAACCAGCAGCGGATCTGTGATGACTTCGCCTCCCCTGCTTTCTCGGCATTAAAAGATCAGTAAATCCTCGGGCTGCCCTGCTAACCCCGTGCAGGTGCCCTGCCGTGAGCCCGTGCGTCAGGCCCACGTCATCGCCCGCTCCGTTCCTTGCACCCGTATAGAAGTCGAGGGGCAAGGTCTGCGTACTGCCAGGCTAGCTCGAAATCTGCGGCACGATCCTCATCAGGCTCACACATCGACTTGCAAAAAATACCTTTCTCTTGGGAGAAGCAGATCCCAGCCTTACCCTTGGGTCCCAAAGAAAGAAAAACCCGCGCTCCCGAAGGCCACGCGTGTTCCTGAGCGGACATGCGGCCGGACAGACTGCGAGATGGCCGAGTGCTCAAGCAGCCACGCTAAACAGGGATACGATACCACAGCAAGGATGGTTTCGGCCTTTATTTGAAGGCTTTTAACAGTTACAGTAAGAATTGTCATTGCAAACCAGGGATTCTTAAAAAATTGAACAATAAAAGTTAAAAAAAACCATCCACAAGTCCACCTGCAGTAAGACATGTTGGTACAGAAAGGAGATGTGAGCTTTTGCTTCTTCCATTCTGTTCATGTTTCAAATATCGGATAAAACTAAGATACTAGGAAAGGTTGGATGCCCTCAGAATTGTTCCGGCAGGCGAGCACTTACCAGCCTGTACTGTACCAGCGTAACAGAGCAGCTGTGCCAAGCCCATGGGCTTGAGCTGGGCTTGGTGCTGTTATTTTCCTCCCAAAAAGGACATTAAAAACCATATTATGCCAAGGTATCTACAACGTAGTCACAAGTTGACGACGCGAGTTTGTCCCCATTCTGGTTATAACTCATCTTGGTAGCAAAGCAGCAATGTAAGCAACTGGAAATCTTAGCAGCATTTGACTTGCAAGTCTGCCGCTTCAATTTAGCCTCACACCGCACGTCCACGCACCCACCAGCCTCACAAGGCGCCCTCACAGTGTTTCTGACTCATCCTTCTCTTCACATAAAAGGGTATTTGCTTGCTTTGCTCACAGAGGTCAAAAACCAACCGAACAGAGCCCATCCGATGGCCTGGGCGCTTCCCAGTTCCGCACACGCAGTCCCGGTGGAGACTGGAGGCCCCCAGGCCCCAGCGCGGGGCTGGACTGCAAAGAGCAGGCACCCAAGAAGCCCTCTTCAAATTGAGCCACGTACCATTGCCATCCTTTGCTTTGAGTTGCTGGAATAACGGGATCTTTAGAGCCAAAAAACATGCTTCCGACCTCAAAGCAAGCGAGTAATGGTAAAGAAGATTTTATGTGCATCAAAAGCCCCGTTCTAGGTCTGCGCTTCGTTATCCAACACCAGCTTTGCAATCCCAGTCCCCAGCAATGCCCATCCTTTAGGATAAGGCGCCCGTGGAGCACTCTGGGGGCAGGGAGGGCGTTCTCCCGCCTGACAGAGAAGCCCTGCAGGGGACACTTCCAATTCCGAGGTTAGAGACCCCACAGAGGCGCTGCCCTGAAGGCGCCGGTCTGCACGCGTCTGTGACAGCAACGCTTGAGCTCATCTGTGAAACAAGACCGCAAATGACACAAATCAACCAAGTTTACGGCCCGCCTGCCCATCGAGACCAGCGACAGATGCGGTTACCATCTTGTTTATAACTCATAACCAGTGCTTTAGCAGTTTTAAAACACTTTAAACATGCCTAAACTCACGTGGCGGCATTCCGGTTAGGCAGCCCCATCCCCACACCGTTGGGAGGAGGAAGCCAACAACGCACTCACATTGCATCCACTTGTGGGAGGGGAACAGACAAACCAAAACCACCCAAAACTCGAGCAGTGGTCTCCCCCAGCACACTCCAAGGGGAGGTTCAGCATCACCGCTACCCAGGTTAGCACCGACTGTAACTAGGACTAGAGAACGAACGCTGACGTTCCAGGTCCTGCAAGCTTTGTCCCGACAACCGCCACGGTCCTTAGCTCTGCCTAATCGTACCTGAAAGCATGAGAGACTCCAGCAGACGTGACACTCTTGAAATACAGAACTTTATTTAAAAAACGCTTAAAATAGAAAAACCCTGTCAAGAAAAATCCAAGTCAAATACGGTTTCTCAGTAAAATGGAGTTTTAGGGCAACAAAAGTCTAAAAGGCCACAAGAGAAGTAGCACCACTGCGGTTCAAACAATGGCTGGGTACTCGCGTTTTTGGCATTCACTGAATCGGGGTTTTTCTCTGAATTTCACAAAGATTCATGCACTACACGACAATTACCATAAAATGCTCTCCTACACACATTTTAGGACAAGCTACCACCAGAAACAGATGAATACAAGCACAACAGGACTGCTCAAACTCAGTAGTGAGGGGGGATCAGAAGTCTTGCAGGATCTTGCCAAACACAACGGCAATGAGGGGCATGATAGCAAAAGAGGACAGTTAAGGAAAGTACTTTAAATATTAATATTTAAGTTAGTCTCAGTACTGTATTTTCTGCAATAACGTTAGCTCTGTTAGCCAGCACCTTTTAGTTTTTACCCCAGAAGACGACTGAACTGGCAAGCATTGTTATTAGAGACGCCCTGGTTTGAAAGGAAAAATTAAAAAAAAAAAAAAAAAAAAAGAAAAAAGAAAGGAGAGACAGAGAAATCATCACCCTCACGTGCTCAACTCCCTTTCATTCTAAAATAGTCGCACAGGGCAGGTCCTGTTACAGCTACGGGATTTGATCAGCATTCCTCGGGATGGGAGAGAACGGAACGAGCGAGAGACCAAAGAGGGGAGCAAGAAAACTAAAAAGAAACCGGAGAAATAGGAACAGGAGCCAGGAAGGAAAATGACTTCTGAAGAGCATTTGAGGCAGTAAGACTGGATGCCCTGGGCTTTTTTTGTTGGTTGGTTTTTCTTACAGAAAACACAGTACATTTTGGCAAAGTCATTAGCCACAATGCCGCAGGAAAAGGCTTTAGCGCTCTTCAAGGTAATGTATGTGTCTCAGCTGTTCATACTCCCTCTAATCTTGTGACAGGCAACGTTAAGGCCCACTTCATCGAGAACTAATCACTTAGTAAGCAGCTTTACAGCGGAATGGCGTTTTGTTTTAGTAGCCCCTTCTGAGCACTTGCTGACAGAGCGAGATCGCCACGCACGGCCTCTCAGGCAGCAGTGAACGGAGTTCAGCGAGCGTCTACCCCAACATGAAGCACATAAAATCTCCCGTCACATTACTTCAATTTGGCATATGGAAGCATATTTTAAATACTCTTAAGGCATTTTATTAGAATTTCTGTGCTGCAATTTCACATTAACTCAATCTTCCTGTGAGTCAGAGTCTATTCTCTACGACACACCACCTCAGACACAAAAAGAGTCTTCCCACAAACCAGTGTTTTACCAGCAAACCATTCTGCAACAAGTTCCAAATATTCCGCCTCTTGCTCCCTAACTATACCACCTCGATGTGAATACTGCTCTGCTACAAGTGAGAAAGAGCTCCTAACTCAAACCCACTGTAAAAAGTGAGACTTCGCAAAGTGCACTTTAAGGAGAGGTACTTTTTTGCTTATGAAAAGAAACCAGTGAGTCCTCTAAGAATAAAGTGGAGTATTTTACAGTTAAGCACATGATCTGGGGCAAAGAATTCTGATGTTGCTGCTCTGCTGGTACAGTATGTGGTCTGTTAATACTCTTCTTGTTCCTCCTGCGGTGCTCCTTCGTCAGGTATCACAAAGCCTTCCTGAAGGGGAATAAAACAAGTGCTTTAATGAAAATCTGGTGTCAAACCAGTTCCTGGCTACTCTCTATGCTCTTCCCCCTCCCCCCCTTTCGCTGAGGGTAGATCCCCTTGAGTCACCATTTACAGTGTCAACACGTGTTACCAGAAGAGTTATTTTCCTCATCTTTGATCTATTTGTTACATACTCTTCGTGAAAGGCTAACCTTGTTTGCTGCCTGACTATAATTATGTTATCTGTTCCTTTATTACAGGAAAAAGCTAGGCCATAAACCTAAAGGAAAAAAAAAAAAACCCAAACAAGTAGAAATAGAGGGAGCCCTGGAAAGCAAACCAGCTTCCAGTTACAAGGAGAGGGAGGAGCTATGCAGTACAATTTATACCGGATTACTCACATCTGTGGCATAAAGAATTTCCACAATCCTCTGCAGCACTGGATCATTCTCCCCTTCATTCTCCTGGCAGATCAACTCAATGTTCCTCAGTTTGCCGAAGTAGAAGTCTCTCTCCTTCTCCAGATCTTCCACAGTCAGTTTCAATACATTGATCTGCCAAAGGGCATCAGTAATAATTTACCCACCAAAGACAGAATCCGGTAGTATCTACTCAAAGGGCAGGGTCCCCAGAGTTCTCAGGGGGGTGTTAATATGCAAAGCACTTCAGAAGGAACCAAGATGGGGGGTGGGAGGGGGGCTGGGAGAGGAGGAAAAGGCCTCTTCCTCAAACTGTAATATTACTGCCACAACAAACACCCAGTCCAACACATGCAACGCCACTAGGAAATTCTGAGGGCGTATTACGTTAAACAGGTAAAGCCCTGACTGCCTGCGGTTTTCTCGGCTAACGCGTTTTTTCAAGACAACTCTCAGGCCGACGGCAGTTTTAGTTGTGTTACGTTCAGTATTTTAGTGAAGCAGCAGCTGCTCATAGCTGGGTTGGAATGCTGCGAGAGCTGCAACACAGCTGTGGAAATACAACGCTATGTGCGATACGGCACACGCTGGGTTTAAATGTCTGGGTACTCATGTACCGCAGAAGGGCTTTCGCTCCTATCCGGAGAGCAAGACCATTATAATGAAGGCTTCCGATTAAGTGATTTTAAATGAGCTTACTAGATTCAGATCATTTTCTTCCATCTGCCTGACCCAGTCATTTCATGCTATTCCAAAAAAAAAAAAAAAAAAAAAAAAATAAAGAAGTCTGCACATGGATCCACAGGCACAGGGCAGCAGCGCGCAGGGCCGTGCCGGCCAACACACCTGCTCGATCAATCCCGCCGATTCGTCGTCTCCCGCAGCCTTTTTGACCATTCCACTACCAGCTTTCGGAGTTCCTGCAGTCCTCTGTGTCACAATGGGCCTCTGTGGGGCTGCAAGATTAATCCGGGGTTAGTTCCTCTCAGGACATCTTTCCTCCTCCTGTACAAGCACTATTCCCCTTCCGAACAGGCTTAGGCACGTCAGGGTTTGCAGATGTGTTCCTCCCCTCCTCTTGACCCCATGTGACACGGCCTTTTTTTTTTTGGCACCAATCCTTGCCATTTTCTCTAGAAGAGAAGACTCTTCCTTCTGTAGCTCCCAGACACCTGGCTGCCACAGGAGGACTCGGTGTTTAAAGCACAACATCTCTCAAGACACAAAACACTAACTTCATACACCCATTTTAAATAGCAACCCAGCCCTACCTTCCCCAGAGTTTTTAATGAGCTACATGGTCTCATAACTATTTTCTCTACCTGCACTGCTAGAACTGAGAGATTTCTTGGGTTTGTTCACAACTGGAGCAACAAGGTTTGGTGCTACTGTCTCTTGGCCTTGTCGAGCGGCAACAGGATCGTACTCCTTCCCATCATAGTTCGCATCAAAAAATTTTTTGAACCACTGAACAAATTCAAAGTTGTCTTGAAATTTTCCTTTCACTAGTTTGTCCACAGGAATTATCTGGAGAGGGGGGAAAAAAAAAGTCAAACTCATATTAAAGGAGAAGAACCTCTCTCTTTCTCTATGAAGTTTTACCATCAGTGCAAATGTAATCCTTTGTCCAGCCTAGAGAAAATCCTGCTTTAACATAACTATGTCAGACAGTAGGATGCGTGTTAACAACTGCAATTAAAAACAAATCATGCTTTCACTGTGAGGGTCCAAATAATTTTAAATAACTCTGCAGCAAGGTTTCTGCAACACCAGGTTTCAACACAGAACTTGTGTCAATTTGAAGCTGGCTCACTCAGTGCTGGCTTCCGTGAGCCTGCACTGCCGACCGATCTCACGGGCTGCCAACACACAGAACGGCTGCCGGACCTCAACATCAACTTCTTAGAAGATTACAGGTACGGTTTCTCTGGAATGAGGAATGTAACTGAGGATTACTAAACAGATGCAGAAAATTGAAATCCTGAGGACCACCACACCAGTCGGTCGTGGGAACATACCTGGTACAAAGCTGGCTCAGGCAGGAAGCCCGAGTAAACCTCGCCTCATAGAAATTTCGGTATCGGTCTGTGCTACGTAAGTCACGCAGAATTAAAATGGAGAAATTCACCTCATGATTAAGAGCTGGAAACCTACCCTTAGCTGGAGCAAAGCAGATCCTGCCATAAATCAGGCGAGGACCCCAATGCAAACCGAAACCAAACGTTTTGAGATTTACAAACCAAAAGCAAACTCTGTTCCCAGGTTTATTCAGCTCTAAATTTGGAAGTACGTTCCATCTACTTTGGTATTAAGAGCACAGAGAATCGGGTACAACCCAGCTTACTTTGTCAACACCCATTCGTTTAAAACCCGCTTGTAGAACCTTGAAGTTCTGAATGTACTCATGCTCCAGTTTGGCTTGGAACTTCACTTTCTTGAGTGCTACGGAGCCTGGGAAGAGCATGTCCATAAACTGGCAGTACGCAGCACCTGCCAAAAGAGAAAGAATACAAAGCCCAGGATGAACCCAGCCAGCTCACCAGCCCGCATAAGCTCACACTGACCGGACTCACTCCTAAGATGCACAATGCCTTCAAGGCAACAAAAGCAAGAGAACGGGAACCTTCAGCCTCCTGGGTCGGGGCCGCATGGCCATAAATGAGCTTAAGCGAGCTGCAGAGCCCAATTTTTGGTCTCGTGACTTGAACTCTTGCAAACAAGAGCAACAGTGCCTTCGTAATCCCAAGAGGGGAAAAAAAATAATCCAGTGAGCAATTTGACTTTCCTTCCTTTATGGATACCAGTACAAATCCGAGACATCACACGTGTCCAGCAGGCACGTGAGCTACGCTTATCAGCGCTAACAGAACTAAACTAGAAAAGTAATTATTCTGAAAGTTGTATTTAGTATTTAATCATTATTAAAATAGCGATACAGGTACGCACTACAAGCAGAGCCTATACACAACTCAAGGTGCCTTCAAAGGTCAGAGGCCAAATTAAGCTGGATTGTATTTAAATCGAGCCTTAATCAAAGAACTGATATGAGACAGTGTTTATTTCTATTCATTTTAAATCCTTCATGCAATAAAAGCAAAAGAGGGATTCAGTTCAGCCACAAAGAATGGACAGCCACCTCCAAAAAAATTAGCTTTTGTGGAAAACACACACCCATTAAAAAAAAAAAAAAAGAAAAAGATATTTTTAACCTATATCCTCACTCCGCAGTGATGAGACGCAACTGCGGGCCACTAAAAATACAAGCACAGCATTCTGAGCATTATTGCCCCACCAGTACCAATGGAGAGCAATGGGAACCTTAACCGAAAACATCAAGCAGCTACACGATGAGCTTCTGTGAGGCGTCTAGAGGCCAAGAAGCGTTGCCCTAAACCAGTCTATTAATCTCAACCACAGGTAACAAAGTCCTATATTGTTCGCTTTCTGTCAGGATATTTTGCAGTTCTTTGGGGCTCGCACTTTCACTTGCTACTAGGGGATTGCTGCTCATCCACTGGTGCAAGTAAATAAAAAAAAAAAAAAAATCTCGCTGTTTGATCTCCACTGCCTTTCGGTTCACTCCGACACCCAGCTCAGGAAACAGATGATGTGCCAGAAGTCGGGGTTTTGCAAACTACGGGCAGTCTGAGCGATAAATGTGATAAAAAAAAAAAGAAGAGAGATCACCGCATAAGCCAAAGGTCGTCTTTTGTGCATTTATGGAACCTCAAATTGCTGCTGTCGCTGCTGCCCTTGCCAAAGGTAGCAAAGCAAGCTTGGGAACTCCTGCTTCCACATGACTGTGACAGCGGAAGCCACCTCCATACCTGCAGCATCATGAACTATTTTTGCAGACACAGGCAAGGGGCGTTACTCAGCGCATACCACATCCACAGCTCTCAGCCTTTTCCTGAAAACAGGTGAGCTGAAATTCTGCTGAGCCGGGATTAATTACCCTCACTTCTCAGAGACAGAGCTCTTGACTCCTGCTTCCACATGACTGTGACAGCGGAAGCCACCTCCATACCTGCAGCATCATGAACTATTTTTGCAGACACAGGCAAGGGGCGTTACTCAGCGCATACCACATCCACAGCTCTCAGCCTTTTCCTGAAAACAGGTGAGCTGAAATTCTGCTGAGCCGGGATTAATTACCCTCACTTCTCAGAAACAGAGCTCTCACAGCATTCAAGACTCACGCCAATTCTAAGCAAAACTTCTCAGCTGTATAAATCGGCGCTGCACACAACAGGTTTTTTAACCTGCCTACCTGAAAGCAGACAATGCTTGTCATTTCCCTTACTTGTGTGGTTGTGGATCTTCAGTTCCTTCGTGCTTACAGTTTTTCTCCATCATCTCACTAGACAAAGGCCACTACAAATACCTGTCAGATGTCTACTGTAAGTCCCCCACCTCTGTAATCTTTGCCCATGTTTCTTCCACAGACTCAGCCACAGGTTGTACTGACAGTCCCAAACTTATTTTTAGTTTCTCTCTCCTTTTATTCCACCTCCAATTTCCACATCGCTCATTCTGTGAGCAACACCTGATCTCAAACTCACCGTACGAGCTGCACTTCCACTTCTCCCAACTCCCTTTCACCTGCCCGTTGCAGTTATCCAAATCACCACCTTTTACCTAGGCTGCATTTTTAGCCTTGGGGTTTTTTCAGCTCCTACTCCAGACTATAATTTTTTATTCATTTCTGCAAGTCTCCTCCCAACACACACACTCCTCCCTGTGATGACGCTTGACTCCATTTCTGTACCACAATCACTTCCCCTTTTCTGCCTACAACTCTGCCTGAGATTCAGCTGTGCCAAAGTCAGCCCAAGCCGAAGTCGGCGGGGGTGACGCAGACCGACACGCTCCCTTACCATAAGGAGCTGTAAAGCCCTGAAGGTGAACCCGAGAGTCACCAGTACGCCTTCCTCACGCCGCTCCTCCTGCCCGGCTGGGATCTTCAGGCACCTCCCGAATCTCCTAGCAGCCCTCTTCCAGAGGAAATCACGTTTGTTTATGCTAGTTATTACACTTGTAAGACTTACGCTACCCATCCAGACTAAGTGCTTACTTCCTCGTTGGAAAACGCCCGCTCCTAACAGTCTTTCGCTCACATTAGCCCCCACTCCTGAGTCACCGCAGCGCAGGTGCGAGAGGAAGAAGAACAAGCCTTTTCGTTGCGTTTACATTATTAACAACCATGCCCCCGCGGCGCGGAGCCCCCTCCCCAGAGCACAGCTGCTCGATCTTCGTCAGCGTCAGCTGCAGGGACTCGTTGATCCAGGCGAGCATGTCGTGCCGGCTCAGGTTATCGCTGGTCACCGACGTAGAGTACACATTGACTGCCATTTTCTGGAAGACCAAG